CCCCAAAACCCCAAAACCCCAAAACCCCGCAAACACAAAATATCAGATTCGAGATTAAGAAATGTGATTGATTAAATTAAGTTTGTTCAGAGTTTCCCATTTACAATTGGTAAGATGTTTTCCTTGAAGCCCCTGATTGTAGTGGACTTGTTAAGTCTGCTTGACTTTGCCCATTCGAGTTAGGTTCTATTATAATAATCATCATTAAATATACTTACTCATAGATATCACCATAGGAATTACCAATGGAAGAGGTCAGAATGACATCAGGGATCTAGATTGCTTCTACAATAGGAATCATAAAAGGTCTTAGAGTTTTCAAAAGTTGCTTTAAAGCTTAATTGAGTAGATTCATAATGCCAGAGCTGAAAAAACCTGACTCGTATAGACATTGATTGTCTTTAATTAGTTCACTAATACTGTAAAGTCTTAAGAGATTATTAAGATGGTTTTTCAAGCTATTGCATTTAATAATGCTAAGCCCATTCTTGAAGTTATAGAAAGTAGTATACATCACGTGAGCAGTTGACATGCTTATTATATCAATGGCAAATTCAGAGTTTGCTTTCTAATTTTCAGAAGCTTTTGATTTCATGAGATCTTCAACAGTGGATTTAACTTTGAATGCAGATCTGACAGCAAGTGCTGTCTCTAAGAATTCAACAGAGAGCACATCTTCTACAGTCTTAGCTGTGCTTTTCATTTCAATTAATCCAAGAATATTGTTCAGATAAGAAAAATTTCCCTCAGCTTTCTTGCCTTTAGCTAGACCTTTTACGGTCTTTACAATTAGTCTTGAACATTGTTAAAGCATGACTGTATTATCTCCCTCGAAAGTTGGATTTGGTGCATAGTCTTATTAGTATTAGGGAAGTGCTGACCACTACAGGAAACCAGCTCCACCACATGATTGTCTGACATCATCTATAGCATCATAAGTGATTTTTGTGTAAACCGCTTTGTAGCCTGAACTCAAATGATGAAGTAGCTCTAGTTAACTGAAGTCGTTATTCTTGACGCCATCCATAACCTTTTCATAGAGCTTGATGAGATAATGACCTGAGAACTTGAAGGCCATTGCATAAGCTAATAATGGTGCATACTTGTACATATGAGTTTAATAGTCAAGCAATTTTCTTTCAAGTTTAGTTCCGTCTAATGTCGAAAACTGTCTTCTGACCACTGCGTATCTTGTTCCAATTTAGAGCGCCTAGAAAATTGCGAATGGAGCATAGGAAATAATTTAGACTCTAGTTAGTAGCATGATAGAGTAGAGGATTCTTTGGTCTCCCTTGAGTTTGAAGTTACCTTCTCTGTCTACCTCAGAAAATCTTTTGAGGTGATTGTACCTTGGGATCCTCAAGTTTTTATATATTTAATATCCATTATCCTTGCTTTAATATCCAAACTTTGGCCCAATGTCTCCCATTTCAACTCCTGGAAGGGGCTCATATGTAGCTAGGTCTCTGGTTTAGACTAGGAAGGGTTGTACTCCATGGTCCTTACCATTAGAGATGAGTCTGGCATAAACACAACTGTAGCAAGAGATTTTACCCATGTCTCCAGGCCAGAATTTAGTTGAAGTCAAAGTTGGAGAGTTGATGACGAACTCATCAGTAGTGTTGTCGTAGGTAGCAGTTGTCTCTATTCCCTAAATAGATCACATTAGTCAATAAAAGCTAATTTACTGCAACATTTGAACCATGGCCTAGTTCAGTTTGTGCGTAGCATCCAATCATCTTTAAATCCTTAAGCTTTGGTAGCCATTGATTTCTTTATTCATCATCAGCAAGACTCTCAATGCATGTCATAAACATAGTGAAATTAAGTCCAAATGAGTACTAAATCGTAGTTTATTTACTAAATATTAAGGTATATCTTACGACTCCCTTCAGGATAGCATTGTACCAAGCAATAAATCCATTCTCTACATCATGGAAGTATTCTTTCCTGTCAATCTCATACATTCTTCTGGACTTCTAGAGTTAGCACTCCATTTGCTCCTCACGGGTCATATCATACCAGGAGTGATGGTTGGCTAGAATGGGTTCTTTCTCTACAAGCTTAATCCATCCCTAGTACTTTGCATAGTTTTCCTTTCCGTAGTAGAGGAACTCTGTCAATTCCATCTAGTCGAAATTGAGATTCTTCCTCTCTTCCTCAAGGTCTGAGGCTACGATCTTGTTTTTAATGCTGCCTGTTCTTGGAACTGAGTTTGACATGAAATCTATTTTTGTCTTTTGGAATAAAATAATAATAATTTTTTCCCTAATTATCTTTCTCTCACAAAGAGAATCTTCGGGGTTTTGGGGTTTTGGGGTTCGTTCTAT